CCCCATTACTGTTGCCCCTATACCAGGGGCAACTTTAATAAAAATAATTAAAATAATTACAACTTTACAAAAAGAGAGAAGTTGCCGATCTTGCCCCTATACCCGGGGCAACTTCGTCAATTTCTCTCTTCTTGTAAAGTTGTAATTATTTTAATTATTTTTATTTCCAAACTGATTTTAACCAGATGTATAGTAAGGTAACATTCCAATAGACAATATGCAAAAGGTTTTTTTTTGTTTACAGCAGTATTTATTACACAAAATTTAAGTAAAGCTTAACATGCCGATCTTGCCCCGATCTCCCCTATATGTATAGGCAATATAAATAACAATACTTTACTGAATACTAAGAGGCAAGAAAAGAATCAGGATATGACCCCCATATAAGATGAAAGACAGTGGACAGACACAGTTGAAAGGTTCTCAAAGAACCGTTTTTTGAACAGCTGATGATGATAATATATATTTACACACATGTGGAAAAAATTAAGATTTCTCTCATTAATTAGTGCATGTTATATGTTTGCGTTATTAAAATACCGTATATTAATTATAATTTGGCATTTTAAATTGTTTTTCAAACGGTAATAATTATTAATTTTATAATAATTTCAGCTCTAATCATATTATTCTTGATTAAAGGTTTACTTTGAAAATTATAACAGAATAATTAAACTATAAATAACAAAGGTGTATACATAACATTCATTTTCCTAATTATAGCAATAATAACAATAGATATTCAATTATACTAATTGTTAAAAAATTATTTAGTACTGACATTTAAGGTGTTTGAAAAGATTTGAAAAAAAGAATTTTGAATATTTTAATACTTGTATCTTGTTAAATATTTTTATAAATACATGGTCTGTCTCAACGTAAGTGTACTAATTTTTTAATGTAGTGATTGTGCAGCTTAACACATCATCAATTGGTATTTTCATGTTACTAGATATCTTAGCAGCATGTTGAGACCTATTTCAAGTTGATAGGTTAAGTCAAACGTGTACAATATCTGTTTCTGTAAGATAGTGTTTTAACACAATCGTTACTTTTGAAAAGGAGAAAAATCTCGAATAACGTTACTCTATCAAAGTTTTGTGTGAAAGTCAAGAAATCTGCAACCGAGACATTTGCAAATTAACCAAAGCTTATGAAGATGCCACTTTATCGAGAAGCAGAGTGTTAAGATGGCACAAAGATCCAGGGTAAAGACGATGTTTATCGTTTTTTTTATAGCTGTGGAAATGTCCACAAAGAATTTTTACCTTCAAAACGGACAGTTAATCAGGCCTTCTACATAGATGTCTTGGAACGTCTTCGAAAACGGGTCATGCAAGTCCGCAGGGACATTTCAGAAGATTGGGTACTGCACCACGATATTGCGCCTGCTCACACAGCGCTATAAATTCGAGAGTTTTTGAAAAAAAATTAATTTCCACAAGCACACAACCTTCCTATAGTCCGGACCTAGTTCCGTTCTACTTCTACCTATGCCCTAAAATAAAATCCAAGTTGAAAGGTCATCATTTCGAGACAGTGGAAAATATCAAAAAAGTTGCAACTGATGAACTAAACATCTTTACGGAAAACAACTTCAAGTACTGTTACAACCAGTGGAAAAAACTTTGGAACCACTGTGTGACCTCGCAGGGGCTGTACTTTGAAGGAGATCGTTCGTAGTTTGATGTATTGATAACTCTTGTATACTTTGAAATAAAAAATCAGTACATTTACTTTTGGGACAGACCTCGTATTTATTATTTTAGTAAATGATATACAAATAAATATCCGTAATAAAAACAAAATATAAATTCAATTAACAATTAATTATAAGATGAAATAATGAAAATTTTAGTAGATTCATTTTTAGTTGAAATAATTATAAAAAAAACTATTTATTATAATAGCAAGAGGAAAAAATTAAGATTCCGGTTGAAAATTACCTTTTAAAATTAACATTTGATAATACCTGTATTAATTAATTTTATATAATATCAATTAACAGCAAAAGACATGTAACTTGATAGCAACTTTTTGAAGTCTATTCATAAAAATAAGTAAAATGAAGCCTTTCAAAAACATAAAGATGTATACCTTTTTCGTTTCCCTCAACATTCGACATTATTGGGCTACAATTTGAAAAATTTGTTTTTGGGTTGTTGCGATTTGAAAAAAAAATTATAGACTTATAAATTCCCACTGTCGTCCGTCTGTCAGTCTGCTTTTCTGTCATTCCTTAATCTCTAGAACGGATGATAGATGACTGGCATGATTCTGTGCTAGCAGGGGAAGTATGATGTACAGGGGCAAGACACTACTAATTTGAAATGGAGAGTGTGTAATTTAATTAAATTCTGTCTTATTGTAAAAAACAAAAAATAACGTTTTTCGAAAACGATATAAAGTCAATAAATTACTAAATACAAAAAGTACAACGTAAAACAGATACTTTTCTATTTTGCTTTACTTCAGTTTAATGGGAAGTTATTTTTAAAGATCTTTAGGGAGTTTGACTAATCTCGATGAATCGTAAACAGAATAGTTACGGTGGTCATTCTGATTTAATAATTATTAATATTAGTCTGTTGCTTTTAGAGTTAAATCCCTAGGCTGATACTTTTTCCCATTCTGATGTCAACTACATTTTTATCACGGGATATTTTGTATCATTTGTGGATTGAGTCTCATTTTTGCGAATTTTGTTTCATGGGTGCTTTTTTTATATAATTGACTAATAAATTTATAAGAAAGTCTAAAAATAATTAAATCAAATTGAGATTTTAAAAAGAGGGGGAAAAAAACAGTTGACCTGACGTGTTTACAAAATAGATTAATTATTGACCTGAATGAGTCAGGTCAATTATTAGTCTATTATATTAATATTTTTAATCTCTGAAAAAATGGCTGAATCACCGAGTCATTAAGGTATCAGGCGCTAGTTCCGGGAAAACGAAAACGAAACATTTTGGGATTGGACGGTTCCGGATATGCTGTGCTCATCCTTCACTACCCGGCTGCTCTATTGTGGACCTGGTCAAACCTATGATGGATTTGATAAAAAAAAAAAAAAAAAAAGACTCTTACAGAACTGTGGTTACGAGTTTGGCTTCTGTCTTATTGGTTGAAGAAAGTCGGGTATGGTAAACTATTGAGAAACTATTTCTGCTAAGGTATGTCAAAAATGTTTCATTCATACCTAATAAAGGTATGTACTGTACTGTCTATTACATTAATAAAATACCGTACTTTCAATATAACCTGTTACTTTTTACTGTGTAGGAACCTCGAAATCTATCTCGTATTTTTTTCTCTTTCTCGAGAGATTCGAAATAGACAGGTTAAACTGTATAAGTTATTTTCGTTTTTCGAGTCAAACATTCTAAGAAATGTTCTTAGGAATCTTCAAAAATATTAGAATTGTCGTTTACTATTAATATTGCAATTAAAATTTATTAAATTTATAGTAAACAGCAAAAAAATCTATAATTATTATCTCTGGATTTTGACTGAATTTAGTATAAAATTATCGTAATTTTATATAATTTATTATAAAAATTAAAATTTTCAGATCAGTAAACAGATTCAAATTAGATCATTTTATAAACAAAATTCACTTCTCTTCTTAAACTTCAAATGAACATAGTCCGATGTATTAATAGGTTTATTATCAGAAATTCAAAAGATTCACAAAATTCTATTATCGATGTTATTATATCCAATAGATACAACAGAAGACAAAATACATTCAATCGTTGATCTTTTATAGTCAAAGATGTTTCATGTTATTATAAAAATTTTAGTTACATCTTAATTTTTATAAGAAATAAATGTAAAATAAATGTACGAAATATATATTTTTTTAAAAATTTTTACTTTATTTGGTTTAATTTTTAATAATGAATTTCCTGTACAAATAATAAGACACTATGCTAATAAATACAATTTGGAAATGACGTCAATAGACTAAATAGATTTAAGATTTTTAATTATTATTTTTATTATAATAATGATGCAATTAATTAATTTTCTAATAAAAATTTAGGAATTAGAACAAATTGCGTTAATTAAAAAAATACTTGAATATAAGATCGAGATACATAAGATAATTTATTGGTTTGTTTTTAATATAAAATAATAGAAATTTATGAGCATCTATAAAAAGTTTTATTTCATTGCATTGTATTGAATGTTTATTCAGAAAAATAAGTCGAATACAAGTAATATAGAGAGTAGAAAATAATTAAAGATCATCCTTTACAGCATAAATCCAATTTAGGCATAAATTCGTTTAGTGGAGAAAAATATAATTTGCAGTTTTCTGAGTTCTAACTGTTATTGGACTCTGAGGTAAATCTCGATTTCATCTATAATAGACGCATCAAACAGGAAAAAGATCGAGTCGACAATGTAAAAATGAATTTCTTTCTTTCTCATCCTTTAATTTTTAATGAAACATTGATTAAGAATTTACAAACTAGTTATGAAAAATTCCAAAAATAAATATTTGATTCGAATCCTTCACATTACTAAAAGAATTGTTTATCGTAAAACAATACGAAAGAAGGGTGAAAATATTTCAAAGTCAATTCCAATAAAATGCAATTAAAAAGATGCAAAGTTGTAGTAGATATAAGTTGGAGTATTCACATCTTATTTATGAAGAAATTTTTGCATTTTATGTTACTCTATAATGCAATTTATACTTATTGCAAGGTTTTATTTTATAGTTAATCAAAATACAAAATAGTCTACAGCTTCATGCTATAAATTATGTAAAAATGCTTTGCTAAATGAATGCTATTTATCAAAACTGAATGCGGTAAACTATATTACATAAAATCAATTACATCTTACGAATTTCCTTATCCTAATTTTCAGATTAAACAAAAAGCAATTTGTAGGAACGTTATTAAATAGAATTTTTAACATATTTTTCTACGTCTGTTGTCACAGGATATCGAAATTAGAACATATTTCAGAACCACAGTAAAGAAGTGATATGAAGGAAAATAATATATCACTTTCTATTCACATATAATACAAGTAATTCGGTCACTATCTTTAGAACAGACTACGTAATAAAATCTTACATTTCTATTTTAAAATGTTGTAATTAAGTTAAGTAACTTGTAATAGGATTCGGTTTATGATGTAATAAATAAATATTTTTGACGGTTTTTCACATTTTATTACTTTCTTTCTATTTTTATTCATTTTCTAGCATTACTATCTATCTATCAAAAGAGCAACAAAAGCATTAGTCTATAAAATTAATTATATTGATATTTATCTTTACTCACAAATCTTACATTTTATCTTTCAACAGGATTAAAAATAAAATATGATTGCATTTATTATTTTATAAACACGTGATTTTGGCATAATTATAATTGTTTGATGGACGACTCAATTGAAATACTTATTTTTTATTTTTTACGACGTTTATTTTTATACATATTTTTTATTGAAATGGATTCTCTATCAGTTGGCTACTAAATAAACTAATTTACAATAGTTTAACGTTTAAATTTTAATTATTCTGCTTTTCTAAAAAGGCTGTAAGTCTCCCACCTAAACATAAGTCTAATACTAAGAGGGACTATAACTTTTTCATGCTGAGGGATTTTAGGGTCTCTCAGCATGATAATCTCACAGTATGATAATATTTTAAATTAACTGAGACTATTATATAGGATTTACGAAGATAGACAGCTAATAGAACAGTTTTGAAACAATTATTAAAATGTATCATTTTGCTAAGTACTGAATTTATCTATTTAATTTCCTACATAGGAATTATCTCTGATACCATATATTATATCAAATTTCTCTTAATTTTATCATAATTTTAGAATTCCATGTGGAAACACAATATCGATAACATGCCAATTAATTTTTAATTGTCTTTATACAAATTTCTCTTATTCAATTTAAATATTCTTCAAATAAATTAACCTAATGACAAGTAATAATTACAGTTCTGTACATTACTTTCTTTGCAGGAATATAATTTTCAATTCTATATTGATTTAACACAAAGATATTTAAAAGTTATTTATATAATTTATTTCTAATAATGCTTATTATAGATAATTACATCATTTGATACCCAATAACGTCAAGTAAATTATTATTTGATAAATCAAGATGGATGTTATTTCCAATGCTTACATTGGCGTTATTATTAAAAGTCATACAAGTAAATATTGCACATTAGCTATTTTTAATAATTGAAATACAAATGAAACTTTTGCTGCTTTATAACGAGTATAATAAAGTAGTTTGTCATTGGAACTTGCTATTATACTAAGGAAAAATTTTGATTTTTTCATAATAAAATTTAAACTGACGTTGGTATTAGATTACTTTGCTTTAAATAAATTAAATTCTATTCATTTTTTGTCTTTCAGTTAAACTTATATAATAACCAATGTTAAATTTGATATATATTACTAGTATAAAGCAAATATAAAATTTGCAAATATAAATTTTAATTTTACTAAGTAGAAATAACCTTGTTTTATTTTTTATATTAATCGTCTTATCTATAATTATTCATATTAATTGCACAAAACGATCTTAGACTCCATACAATCATTCAATTGTATCGCAAACGAAATCGATTAATGTTTCAATTGAATTCTTATTTATTAAAATTATACGTTGAAATTAGTTAAAACTGTAAATATATATAATTTTTATACTTATTGTTAAATATTAAATCATAAAAAATAAATTATAAATTATAGAGAAATTTAAAAATAATTCTCTAAAACAACCCTTTATTTTTTTATGTGTAAGACATATTCTTACGTTCGAAAAAATTAATAAAATTAAAATATTCTTTTACTTATTGTATAATAGTATTATTATTATCATTTAAAATAATAAAATTAAAAGAGAAATAATTCACTTATTAAATATTTATAAAGTATATACTTTCTAGAAAATATAATGTTTCCATTAGTTTCATTTTAAACCCTTGGAAATTATTGTTATAATAGTTACCAACAATTGCTAATTATTTCTCTTTTATTTCGTCGTTATCTTTATTCCTTGAGTATTATTCTCACATTATCTTAAATAAACAGAAATGTTCTTCTTACCACTAATACAATAATTACGGGGCTGATGAATACATAATCGTAAATGTCTCCATTCTGCCAGAAACATCTATTTAAATACAGAATTTTAAATTTTATTATTTGATTACAAATAAAATATTAACAAAATAAAGTATTTTTATAATACGTACTGTTTCAGGAAAGACGAACTTTCATCGTGAGAGATGAGAGGCGAGCAGAGGGACTTGACGATGACCCACACAATAACTGTCACAACTGGTAAACCTTAGAGGAAATCGAATTAACCAATTTCTATCAAACGAATGTCATATGATTTTATTCAAATTTAAATAAATATTTTAAAAAAAATTATAAATATTTTAGTTATAAAAATAAGGTTGTTTTTTTTTTATTCCACTGACTAAATAATCCAATTTAAAGTCTTTGTTTTTCTTTAAACAAGAAAAAAAGGAGAATCTAAATATCAGAAAGATATAAAATAATGACAAGTGGATTTTATTTCCAACTATAATTAAAAAGTATTCTCCCGAGTCGTTGCAATTGCTATTGATTTCTATTTCCATCACTGTGTAAACAATAACGTGAAACAATATCAAATATTAAGAACATACAATAACTTTCTGATATATATATAATAGCACTTTTCAATTGTAATCACCATAATTTATAAACTAACGATTTAAAAATTCTAAGAAATATTGACAATTAAATTTTAGAAAACTGACTTTTATTCATCTTTACTCATTTCTCTGAATATGATTAAATGTATAAACTAGAACAATATTTTCTTATATAATTTTATATCTTATATTTATTCATAAAGGTGATGAATGACGGTCTTTTCACTCTCTCTTCAAATTCTGTTTAGTATTTCACATGTTGTATCGAAGATCGAGCAGAAGAGAAAACGTCAAAACAATTTCTGAAAGAAAAAGAATGTTTTTTTTCTGCTTCAGTAACGTCAATAAGAAGAACAAAGAAATGGAACCTTTCTTCCAGCTATTTTTTGTTTTTGTTTTTTGTGTGTCCAGGATTTTACAATAATTTACCCGAATTAATTTAATAAAACTAAATTTTATAATTTGAAAAATATTTTCATTTCTTAATATCTAATGTAACTTTATTTATTTTTTAAAAAATTATATTATTTTAATATAAATAATTGCTAAATATCAATTAACTATTATAAAACTGTTTACAAATTTAATTTCTCAATTTATTATTATAAACTTTTTTATTGTATTGAAAAATTGAATTTTTATTAATGGTAATTATATGGATTCTTGAAAAATATAATTATTTTTTGCAATTTTTATCAAAGACTTTAAAATATAAGAAATAATTACGTGACAGCTGAAAAAGTATTAACATGAAAGTGATTGCTAAAAGAAACTAATTTATTGCATAGTTTATAAAGAATAGCTTATAATTTCTTTGAATGTATATATATATATACATACAATACAAAATGAAATACAATGCATTTTTTATGATAAACTACATTATTAGGAAAGATTTAACATAACCTTGGGAAAAACACATCATTTACTCTCCTATTGAAAACCTTTGAAAAAGAAATCTTATGAATTTTAAAATTATTGATCGTAATTTTAACATAACAATTACATAAAATGAAAAAATATATATATATTGTTTTAGAATATGAAAAAATTTACATCATAATATTTATATATATTAAAGTAACCAGATGACACGACTTGAGTAATTATATAGAATTCTCGGTGTTAATACACTATTTAGAAAAATTTTTAAATTATTCTATAAAATTAAACGATATTAACAAAGTACTGAATTACATATATATTCTATCTTATTAATATATTTTATCTGTTCTATATTTTATTAATTCAGATAGAGATCTGAGATGAGATAAAATAATATAAAGTAAAAACTTTCTCGAGAAGTAGAAACTTTTTGGCCTAAAACTTTATTCATTTCTATTTTTGTAATAAACATTCATTGCAGATATATATCTATGCATTTTAGATATTATAAATTAATTACGAGAAAATGTTTTAAGTTAAATCAGTTTAATTGTGTCATTTTATTATTTTCTTATGTGTTAAATAAAAATAGAAGTATCTGCAGAGTGATCAAAAAGTTATTATGCTTTTATATTGTGTCTTTTGTAATATGGATGCACAATTACTTTTTAATGATTTCACACAATTTAGACTAAAAATTTTCATTATTTTTTTTATTTTATAATAAGATTTTCAACTAGATATATCAGATAGTCTACACTAGAACATTTTATATAACTTTCATATCTTGTAATAAAAATACAATATTTTAGAGTATTGAATAACAAAACTTAAAAATAATAATGAAAATAGAAAAGAAGGCAAGTCTACTGAGCAAAATAATATAATAAATAATTTCTGAAAATTCAATAAAATTTAAGAATTATACATTACGAAAAAACTGACTCAAAAATATTATTATATATCAATAGAAAGAATAAAAATCCACGTATAATGCACAAACGTGAAAGCAAAAATATTTAGTAAGAATTATTACAATAAAATATCAGAAAGAGAAAAGATAAAGGTATTAATGCCCTTGATAATATTCAATGTGTTATAAAATAAAATATTCTGTTATGGAAAAACATTTGGGAAAAAAGTTTAAAAAGGATGAACATGAAAAAGTATTGGATATTCAAACGTTTAGAACATTTTATTCTTGTTGAAGTAATGATTTTATAAACATTGGCTAAATAAGTTCTTTAGAGTCATTTTTAAATAATAAAATTTTTGAATTCAATACCACATTTCTATATAACTAATTACCATTTTAATAATAAAATAATAAAAAATCATATTACAAATGAATGGGAAAGGTTTTGAAAATTGTTTAATATCTTTTTTTTTGTAAAATTTTAATAATAATTAAGCAATCTCAATTTAAATTTATTATAAGTTATTTGAAAAATAGCTCGCATTCATTGAGAAAAAGAATTTCTGCTTTATTTTTCTGGATACAACACATAAGTAAACATTATTTTTCAATCTTTTGTTGAATTAATATTTATAAAAATATTTACATATATGTTACTTATTTAAACCTGCCTGAAATATTGATATTTATAGAAAAATTTATAATAAAATCCTTACAATTAACAAAGTTGCAATTTGTTTCACAAAACTGAAAAAAATTCTAATTAAATGAATAAATTAATAATATAATTAATTTTTCTATTTGTGCTGAAAATCGTCTAATAAATTAATTTATTAGATGTGTTTCAATGTTTTCCATTTGTTTAATTTAATCAAACTTTAAATCACAAATCGAAAGCTGATCTCTGTTTCGATCAGTATAAGATATTAAATTGTTTCTTATTTATTATACGCGCAAATATTAATGAATATATACCCTAATGAATGTGAAATTTAAACTTTTTATTATCATTGTTATTAGATTTCTATCGTTGTGTTTAGCCATTAGGTTATCAAAATTTTGCCATTCCTTTCTAACACCTCCTTTATCATCCAATATCTTCAGATCACAATTATTTCAAATCAACTTAAAATTATAAACCCTTTGATTTTGAATAAACTGTTTTATCTACATTTAAATATATTTTATAACCTTATTTTTAGAATTCCATAATAGAGTCAAATTATTTTATACATTTTCTTATTATTATATAAGTAATTTTTCTTCTTAAATCTGTTTTTTCAATTTAATTTTCTAACTTCATACTGTTGAAAGAGTATTGTAAGAAGTCATAAGTATGCTACTTTTGTAATGAATATCGGCCAAAATATATATTTTGTGTCCATTCAGGGAGTGTAAGTTTATTTATCTAATATATAATCGAGACGGGTTGATAATGATAATGATAATAATAAGCGCAGAGCCCAAACGGTTAGGAGTTGAAAGTTGAAATTTGGTACACAGTTAGGGTACAGTACGTCACGAAAACGCACACTAAGAAGGGATTTTTCGAAATTCCCCTCCGGGGGGAAAGAGACAGGATTAAGGTTTCGACAATGGAAGTGTTAAGTAACAATGGCAGTGTTAACAATGAAAGTGTTAAGTAACAATGGCAGTGTTAACAATGGAAGTGTTAAGTAACAATGGAAGTGTTAACAATGGAAGTGTCAACAATGAAAGTTTTAACAATGAAAGTGTTAAGAGAAAGCGACCTGCAAGATTTACAGGCGCAGATGCAGTTTTTTCGTTTTTGCGGGAAATCGAACATTTTTTTAACCCATCTAAAAATTCTCTAATTAGACTGGAAACAGTGGGACCTAATTCTTGCATTCTTTGAAAACGGGTAAGATTGACCATAACATAATAATCTTAATCTTCGCTATCGTTACTTCTTGCCCGAGCAACGCCGGGTCTATTTGCTAGTTTATTATATAAGTATATTGAAATTCGTTTTCCATTTGTTGAATAGTCTCAAGAAGATGTATAAGTCGAAACGTAATGAATTTTGAATAAATACTAATAGTTCTAGTGCTATTGTGTCTTATGACAATATGAAATATAGAAAACCATTTATTTAGATATTCTTCATAATTCATTAATTAATATAGTACTGTATGTTCCCAATTATGCAAATCTGTATATTTTAAATTATCTTCGTTTTTATGCTTATTAGCGTTGTCCTATTCAAACTTGAATTCATATTTTCCAGGTTTTATCAAATCTTTAATGATTGTAGTTTCATTCCTTTTTACAATAATATTTATATTATTAGTTAATCTTAGATTGTTAATTCCTTTTATGCGAGACTTTCTGTTGTTTAAGATACCAATTAAAACTTCTTCTGTTTTATTTATGATAAATTCTGCAAAATAGATAAACCAAGTCTCCCTATTAATTCCCTATTGAGGCAAGAAAAGGCATTCTGTTCACTACTGATTTTTACTACAAATATTGTTGAGTAACAAAGAAAATGATATTAATTACAGTTAATTGTATTGTGTTGTTTTCTATTCAAGGAATAAAAATACAATAACAAGATTAATTCGATGATGATGTAATATTTTTCATAATTTCTTTAGACTAAATCGAAAACATTCCGCATGCTAATGAAATTATCATATCTTATTTTTTCTATTCCAAATATATTCATTAACAGATAAATAAATAAAATAACAGTAAAAATAATAAAAACCAAGAATAAGCTGTTAAAATTGAATGAAACTTTTAGTGTGAATAATGACAATAATAATAAGTGATTACAATATCATAGCAACATTTTATGCAAATAGGCACCATATGCTAAT